CAGACCTGGATACACAGTCACTTGCTCAATTCCCTTTCTTGTTTACCTTCAGGAACCCAAACTGATGATCTCCTTTTCCAGTCATCATCTCTTCCAGTGTTTCCGACCTCTCCCTTTACCTAACTCCAGAAACCTAGATATCATCCTTGACCCTTCCCTTGTTTTCACTTTCCTTTACTGACTTATCACCAAGCCCAGTTCATTTTGCCTCCTAAATATCTCTAATCCACCTGTTCTTCTCCACTTCCAGTATATCGTCCTAGTCCAAGTGGCCATCATCTCTTGGTTAGACCCTGGTAAGAGCTTCTTAACCAGTCTGTCCACAGCTATTCTGGCCTTCTGCAAGCTTTTCTCCACACGGCTTACAGTGATCTTCCCAAATCTCAAACTCAATCATGTCCTACACACCCCTTCCACTCCTGTTTAAAACCTTTTAATGTGGTGGTTGTTTAATAGCCCCAAATTCCTTTGCAACATGACTTTGCAGCTTCTCCCATTGGGGAGAAGGAATTGGGATCTATTTCTCTATCCCTTTAATCTAGGCTCGCCTCTTGACTTGCTTGACTGATAGAATGTGGCAGAAGTGATGGGTTCTGGAGCATAGTCCTTCAGAGACCTTGCATCTTCTGCCTTTGTCCCTTTGCAATACTGCTCTGAGACCACCAATAAGGAAATTCAAACCAGTGGTGGATTTGGCCATGTGGAGGAGAACTGAGGGGCCCCAGCCAATAGCCAGCACTAAAAGCAGGAAGTACCGGTGAGGCCATCTTGGATTTCCCTGTTCAGCTAACCTGCCAGTGGAATTCAGCTACATCAGTGAGCACAGATGAAAACAGTAGAGGAACCTCCCAGCCAACCCACAGAATGATGAAAAAATTATGAAAAAAATTAAGTGTTTAGAAGTTGTTTCAAGCCACGAAATTTTGGGGGTGATTTGTTGTATATCAATAGATAACTGATATAGAGGGCTTCTTACTGTCCTTAGGATAAAGACAATATTCTAAAGTGCCCTATAAGGCCCTGTATGTTCTAAACCCACCCATGTCTCATGTTCTGCTTCCATTCCCTCTTTAGACACTCTAGCGCTGGAGATCTTTGGTTTGTATGTTCCTTTCTGCCACAAGGCTTTTTTTTGTATGCTGTTTCCCTCTTGCTTTCACCTTAGTAGCACTTACTCATCCGTCAGCTCTCAGTGCAGCCTATGTCAAATACCCAGTGTAGACTCTGGAAACACTACATGCTTTCCTCTGGCTTTTAGACAACTGAAGTTTTTGTTTGGGGGTTGTTTGTTTTGCCCATTTGTAAGCTCAAAGGTTGTTCTGATTCTGGTTTTGTTCACCACTGCATCCCATAGTAGGACTCAATAAGTAAATACCTGTTAAATGAATGAGGTGAGTGATAAATATGGTAAATGAGGTGTGACAATAAAGGAAGGTTTCTTTTTTTTTTAAGATTTTATTGGGGAATTGGGGGGAGGGGAACAGACAAGTTGCTGTTTTGTTCTTCAGTTTAGTTGTGGAGGATGTTGCTTCACTGGCCCGTGTTGGTATTATCGTTGCGCTCTTCCCGGATGAGGCAGATTGGTCACCGGCCTCTGGACGGCTGCTCACGGCAGCTCTAGGCAGCTCACACCGGCTGCCAGCCACTCACACTGGCTACCAGCCACATACGGTAGCTTATGGCAGTCCACTGCAGCAGGGGCTGCAGCCTACACCGTCGCTGGCGACTCACGGCAGCCCAGCTCCAGGTCGAGCTGTTGTTCACCATCTTATCTGTAGAAGGCAGTGTCACTGGCCCCCATGTGGGATCCGAACCGGGGCCCTGCTGCTCAGAGCTGGCGTCCCAAGCCAGCTCTTAACCAACGCGCCACTCAGCCAACCCAAAGGAAGGTTTCTTACAAGGAGTTTCTAAACTGCCTCTGAAGGTAATTCTAAGGGGAATTTTTAAAATGTTTTGAGCAATGGGGGAGGTATTATTAAAATAATTGCACAATCCCTCAAGGTAATTATTTAAGGAGAGTACTATTTTGAATTTATAAATTCATGTGTGTTTGTTACAGACTAGCTAATTATTTTGTCATACATTTTTACCTTTTTGTTTCCTCCACAGTCTTCCAAAATGAGTGGGAGATGATAGGATTGGATATTAAGTATTCATTAGTTGATCTGGTTGATTGCTAATCCGGTAAATGGCATGCTGCTGACTTTCTCTATTAGACTTGGTTTTACTCTGTTCTCCCAGCTTCAGGATCAGGAAGGGTGAGGATGGATAGAAGGGAGATGGTAAGGTTGTATTTTAATCATCTTTCCCTGCCTTGTGAACATTAAAGGTTGTAACTTTCCACCCATTTTCTGTCCCAGGAAAATGAGAGTCCTTTGGGGATGTATAAGAGGCAGTATCTGACAGAATCCCATTTGATTCTGCTTTTCTGCCACCCTCACACCTAATCTTTCACTTCTTTTCTTTTTTCCTTTTTTTTTTTTGCTTTAAGATTTTTTTTACTGGGGAATTGGAACAGTGTTGAGGAATTGGGGAACGGGAACAGCCAAGTTGTCGTCCTTCAATCTTAGTTGTGGAGGGCGCAGCTAGCTTAGCTCCAAGTCCAGTCGCCGTCTGGTTGCCCATTGGCAGCTTGCAGCTGCTCAGCTCAAGGTGCCGTGTTCAATCTTAGTTCCAGGTGGGCGTAGCCCACCATCCCATGCAGGAGTCGAACTGGCAACCTTGTTGTTAGGAGCATGTGCTCTCACCAGCTGAGCCATCCTGCCACCTGTTGGCAGCTCAGCGGCAGCTCAGCGGCAGCTCAGCAGCAGCTCAGCTTGGGCGCAGCTCACTGGCCCATGTGGGAATTGAACCTATGATCCTGTTGCTCAGAGCTTGCGCTCTTAACCAACTGAGCCACTCAGCTGGCCCTCTTTTTTCCTTTATAATGTAACTCATTTCTCTCTCTGTGTATCATCTCAACCATAGATCGGGTTTCATTTTAACTTTCCTTCACCAAATCCCAAAGCCTGTACCTCAGAACAGCCCCTCCCACTCAGCCACAAGAAAACCACCCAGATAGTTCCTTGGTACATGTGTGGGTATCAGGCAAGAGTGAAATGAGAAGTACAAGACCAGAAGTATGGCTAATTGAACTTTCAAAATAAGGGCAAGGTGTCAGAGGGAGGAAAAGAAGCCAGATTTCTCTGGATTGTAAGGAATGTGGTAACTGAAGGAAGCAAGAAAACTGGGGCCTAGGGTATACGATACTTGGGTCATTGAAGTATTGTAAACGAGCAATGGAGAGAAAGCTTGCACTGGGGCTTTCTAATGGCAGGGCGCTAGAGGGCCAGATATTTGAGACTGAGACCCTCACCTCCCAACCCTTTGCAATTTCAGACGTGGTTAGTGAGGATCAAGCTGAGATTTTTATTTACAATTCCCTGGGAAGTCTTATAGAAGAGGAGCCATCATTATTGCTTTAAGATTATTGCCAACAGGAAAACTGCAGTCCTTCACTGGCAGGTAGGAAGTCCTGCTCAAGGCTCAAAAGTCTATCCCCAGACCTTATGTGTCAGCCCCATATCTGCTGTGATCTAAAGGCTGTCACTATTTCCTGCAAAGCACAGCCCAACTGTGTTTTCCAAGGGCCACCCTGTTCAAGCTATACATCTGCCATCAAATTTCCCTTTACCTTTGCCAGTGCTGTGTTACTGCATTCCCCACCCCTACCCCCTCTCGGCAGAAACTAAGAATTAATATTAATTTTAGTTTTCAGCCTTCTTCCATCTCCTGGCTGGAAGGCAGGGTCCTTGTTTCCCAAAGATTATCATTTACTTCCTGCCAGGACCAGCCTGGCTTCCTTTGTGCTGAACAACTTAAGAGCTTCATTTTCCTCTGTCCCAGATGATATCAGAACTCACTTATTAGGTTATTATCACTTTATGATATTTCAGGGGCCACTTTTGAGATACTCTGCATGTTTCTTATATCTGCCGTGTTGTTGGTTTTTTTTAATGCGCCTCGGCGATTGGGGTAAGAGAGAGAGAAGTGAGCGAGACCAAATGGCAGAGAGGGGACAGTCCAGAAGCTCATGCCTAGGATTAGCAAGAAGGTCTAGGAGAACGCAGCATGGGGCGGCGGATTACATTCCCTCTCAAGCCCCAGTGCGGAAGGATATGGCTTTGTTCATGCTATCACTACTCGAAGCCGGAACTCGTTAGTGGGCGGGGCCACTCTGGCTCTGGCCGCTGCATGCTGCGTGGAGGGATCCGGTGCGAAGGAGGCAGCTGCCGGGAAGTAGTTCTGTGTCGGCGGGGTGCAGCGGCTCCGGGTTTGGGTCCTTGCGCCCTCGATTGACTATTTCTTGGAATGCGGTTTACTACCCAGGAGCCCGTCTATTTCCATCACCGTCTGCGGGGTCAGCTGGCTCAGCACCTGGAGGAGAATGGGGTGGTGGAGAGGACAGTACATGCTGGGTCACTGAAGGGCATGAAGTTTGAGGGCATGAAGTTCGAGGACCTAGGAAAGCGGTACAGATAGCAGGGAAAGAGTCTCAGCTGTGCCCCTACCTTACCTTGTCACCTTGGGACCTCTCATTTGCAAAGGAGGACCTTGTAGTGGATGACCTCACAGGCCTATTCTAGGTTGGACAGTGAGGCTGAGACTGCTGGGAAAGGGAACAGAGATGGTCTCTGCGTGAGTCCCCAGCTCACCTGTAGGGCGCCCAGATGTTCTATCAGCTGCTCTGCACTGGACACCCCCAGCAAGACCGAGCTGACACCCTCACTGCGGAGACACCATGCTAGGACCAGAGGAGGAAAACAAGGGAACTGATGGGGAACAGTGAGCATATAGACTTAAGAAGTACCTCTGAGGAAAGGGGTCCTCCCTAAGAACAAACCAGTCTTGGGTTTGGGAGTGTCTCAGGAGGAGACAAACCCCCTGCAGGGTCCAGGGCTGGCTGTATCTCACCAATAGCAAGCTGTGCCACAGTGCAGCCCAGCTGGTGAGCGATGGGGAGAAGGTCCATAACTTTGGCGTGTTGCTTCTTGCCATCCTCACTCTGCACTTTGTCCCTGAGCCACTGGTAGCCCTGAAGGCCAAAGAGAATCAGCAAATGAGGGTCAACCCCCCGCAACAGCCAAGATAGCCCAGTCTTGCCATCCTGAGCCCCCAGATCTCACCTTGATGGTGGCTCTGCAGGTATCTGGGACTCGCCCATCATACTTGCTAGTGATGAGGCCACAGGCCAGAGGGGACCAGGTGACTGAGCCAACACCTAAGAGGAAGAGGATTGGATGTGTGGGGAAGAGGATCTAGGTGATGGTGAGGCCAAGGGAAAGGCAGGGATGAGGGAGCTGCAAACCAATCTTGTGGTAGAGCTCTGGCAGCTGCATCTCCACCTTCTCTCTCTGAAACAGATGGTGCTCTGCTTGTTCACACAATGGAGGAATCAGATTGAACTGTCTGGCCATGGAGTAGGCCTCCTGAGTGGGGTGGGAAAGAGATGGGGGTTAGAGCACTCTTTCCATTTTCTTCCACTCCCCCTCCTCCAATAGAGTGGGGTTTGCAGTGGCCATGTGAAAAATGGGAACCAGTTGTGGGGCAGGGGGAAGTGGGGTGGTGCACTCACCATGATTTCTGCAGCCCCCCATCGGGATGTTCCCCAGTATAGGGCCAGGCCCTGGTTGATGACATAGGTCATGGCTCGCACAATCTCTAGGCATATGGGAGAGGGAGAGCCTTACTGTCAGATCCCTGGCATCCAGGGCTTCAGATATGCATATCTCTGCCTGTCCCACCAAGACCCCAGGTCTCTCTGTAGAGTCAGAGAGGTTGGTATCTGCTCTGTGCCTCCCTCCCTGTCTAAATCCTGGGGTCTGAGTCTCCAATGTGGAGCTTGGGAGTTCTGAGCAGGAGCTGGCTTCCTGCTGAGGGTCTGAGAAGTGCTGTTTTGAAGGACTTTCAGGGTTGGGGTGCTGCTTTTACCCTCCATGGGACTGTTGGGGTCTGAGCGATTAGCAAAGACGATGTCCACGTATCCCAGCTGGAGACGGTCCAGAGATCCTCTCAAGCCTGGGGTAGGAATGGAGAGAGGAAGGTAAGCACCTCAGCTTCAGTTTCTGAACAATTCAGACCTTACCCCTTTGCCATGGCCACCTAAATCCCAGTTCCCCTATTCAAAGCCTCTGACTAAAGAGCTTCAAAGAGTGTTCCCAACTCCTCTGGCTTCCATATCCAGCCACTTCAGGTTCCCAGCCTCTAACTCTCACCCTCAATGATGTGTTTGCGGCTCAAGCCTCGCTCAGTTTCTGCCCTGTAGGAAAAGGTAAGTCAAAGATGAGGTATGACAAAGATAGGGGACCAGGGGTGGCCTGGCACCATGAGGAACTGGAATTTCTTAGGTCCTCACAGGCAGGATGCAGATCTAGAGTAGTAGGTGCGGGGACAGCTGTCACCAATCCCATCCCATACACCTTCACACATTCTCTAGATCTCCCCAATTATAGTGGGGCAGCCACTTACTGTCCTCCCCAAAAAATCTTGGTGGTGATGACATAGCTTGATCTCCTGGAAAGATAAATGGGAGAACCAGCAAGAAAAGGATTTTTGGATGATTATGTCCCCAGTAACCCCCCAAAACACAGTCTCACCTCCAGCCTTTGCTCTTGAGGATGTTGCCTAGGGTTCTTTCAGCTCTGGAAGAAAAACAATGTAGAAGCACTGATCTCTTCAAGGTGAATCTGTTCCTTACCCTCTTCTCCACCTTTTCCTTTGACTACTTTCCTCTCTTGTAGAGTGGAGCATAAACTAGGATCTCATTGGGCTGTCAGCCCCATCCTGGACTAAATAAGAGGGCCTCCTGGAACTAGGGGTATAGTCGTAGTTTTCATTCAATCATTCAACAAATATCAGTTGTGTATCAACTATGCCCCAAGCTGTGTTCTGGTTTTCTGAAGGGATAGAATAGGATGAGGGGAGAGGGACAGACGAGGGAGACACTTGTACCAACCATCTTTTGCCTTCCCCATTGAGTCTGCAAAATCCCACCTAGCTTCCAAAGCTTAGCTCAGATTCTGCCTCCAAGCAGAATGGAAAATGTTCTCTGATTGCCATAGTCTACAGTTAGTTCTTGTCAGCTTCCATAGCTCTTATAGGCTACACAGTTCTTTGGCACTTAATTATGAGTTTATGTGTAACAAGTCTTAAGTTGTTATGGTGGACTGTTACTATAGTGTTTTACTGTTATTCAGTCTTTCATCTCTCTTTGTCTTTTTGGTTTGTTTGTTTAACCACTTAGACTATGAGCTTTTTGAAGGCATATTGATGTCAACCCACAAGCAATGCCTGCTCTGTGCTAGGCTCTGTGTAGGTACTTAGGTGACATAGGGTGACATCATGGAAGAAGGAGCTTCCCAGCTGAGCAGCAAGTATGGCCGCATCTACCAGTAATTGATGAACTGTCGTCAGAGGGCAGTATAAAGTGCTTTGGAAACTGAAGGGGGTAGTGACCAACTTTGGGGAGGCCTTTAGAAGAGGCTGACATTTGGGCCAAGTCTTAAAGATAAGCAGAAGAGTTTGCCAGATGGAGAAGAGGTAGGGGTAGGTCAATCTACGTTTTGGCTACTCCCAATGTGAAGCCATTTGTGTGTGACGTGGCGAGTTATGTTTGAAAACTTAGCTTTGTAATCTCCACACAGTTACACATAACTGACTCCCAGGATATATTTGTTGGTTTTATTTTATTTGACTGTACAATATACCCATTGCCCTTTAAGTTGGAGAAGGACTGATGTTTGGGACTATAATTCCCATAATGCTTTAGGGGCCCACTAGCTGAAAGGTTGGAACTTAGTGTTGGCAGAATTCCCAGGGTTTTTGAGAGGGAAAACATGAAGCCCTTATGTTCGCTCAGCCTTTTAAATGTAACTTAGGTCTTTCACCACGGGTCTTACTTTCCAGCTGCGTACACTTCGGCTGTGTCAAACAGGTTTACACCATGTTCATAGGCTACTGTCAACACATCCTCTGCTGTCTAGGGAGGTAAGAGAAAGAATGAAAGATCAACCACTGGCCCTGCAATTATCTCCCTCACTGTATTCTAGCCCATAGCACCTCAGCCTTGATTTCTATCTTTTCTCCCTTTCCTCCATCCTCCATCCTCGCATCCATCATTCTCTATGCATATTGTCCAAATCCCTATCCAAGTCTATTTCCCCTTGTTCTGGTTTACAGCCCCTCACCCTGCTTCCAGGTCCCATCACTTATACCTCATCTGAGATCTGAGAACCAAATGTGACCCAGGTACCTGCAAGAGAGAAGCCAGGCACTGGAGAACTGTGGGAGGCAAACCATGAAAGAAAGCCCTTCCCTTAAATCTTTTTTTTTTTTTAACTCACCTAGGCCAAGACAGGATACCCGAAGACCAGACTTCCCTAGGTTCCTGCAGGAAACAGAAGTATCAGGAAGGTGTGGAGCTTCCATTAGGAACATAGATTATCAGTTCCCAGCTCCTCTCCTTCCAGAATGAGAAGCCCTAAGGATGTCTCAGTCCAAAGAAGCTAGACCCAGTGGGCTACCAAACTGGGCACTGCTATGCCTATATCATAAGTGAACAGATAAATAACTGTTCCTGTGGAGCCACTGTCCAATGCCTCTGTTCTCTCCTATCACATTGAAGATGTGCTGCCTGGTTTGTTTCTTCTGATGGGTTCTTGTCTGTTTGAGTCATCTCTGGGATGTGTGGAGTTGGAGCAGGAGGGCTGTGACTGGCTGATTGTGCTGAGTTTGTGAAAACAGACCCTCAGACAGAGGGTACTATGCTAATGGGTAGACACAGGTGTGGGAGGGGTAAACCAAGTCAAGTTCAGGCATTCAGGCAGGCAAGGGTCTTTGAATAGGCTAAGCAGATGGGCCTCCAACAAAGGCAGGTAGGGTACCTGGGTGGGGAGTATGACTGGAGTTCTCCCTCTTCTCCTCTCCACTCCCTCTGCTACTATGGGCTCATTAAGTCTGTTTCTGAACCCCCTTCTCCCAAGGCCCCCCCACCCAGGTAGTCAGCTCAGCTTATCAATCAGGGCTGCCAGGTGGATCAAATTCGTCAAAGTTTGGTGAGATCAGTGACCTCTGCTCACTTCCAAGCAGGAGCTCCTCCCCTCCTCCCTATTGCGAGTCCTGAAAGCCCAGCCGTACTCTCTCTTAGAGAAAGTCAGTTACATTACAGTCTACTTTCCCTATCCTGCCCCTGAACCTCTGCCTGGGGTTGAGAGATGTGGTCCATCCTTCCCAGGGCCCCACTTTCCTGCCCACCAAGAAAGGTCGCAGGAGACTGGGCCTTTGGGGGCAGTATCTGGGTCAGGCACCCTGAGCAGGCCAGAGTGAAAAGCCTTTTCCTTCTCCTTCTTCCCAGGACACCGACCCAAGGACACTCCATGGCAGGTGGGGGTGAAGTGTGGAGTGGGGGGCGCAGCCTGGAGATCCGTGCATCCCTGGCTTTCCTGGAGGTAAGGAAGGAAGCGCAGGAGCATCCCCCGGGTCTTACATGACCTGATCAACCTTGGTAAACTTGAATTTCTCCCAGTCAGGGCTATCGATGGAGACCAAGAGAGGGACCAAGTAAGAGAGTGCTGGTGATGTGAAAAAAGAGATGGAATGAGCCGGGACCTTCTTAGTGAAGTTTGAGGGGGTCCTGGCGGCATCCCGGGAAGCCTCAGGGGTCAGGAAAGGGAAACAGATGGGGCAGGCTGCCCGGCCACCTCCATACCTGTATTTCATGCCAGTGCCTCTGCCGGTGCTCTCTCGGAAGGCCCCAGCAGGCGCTGGGGGTCGGGGGACCACTGCGGCCCGGGCCTTGGGGCCCGACCCTCCTCCCCCCGGAGGATTCCCATGCCCCCCGGAGACCGGCCCGCCATTACCGCCCCCAGGGGGCGGGAGGGAGAAGGAACGGAGAAGCCCGAGGGCGAACAACCGGGGGTGTTGTGTCGCGAGCCCCGGGAGAGCGGGAAGGCCGAGGAAGCTGCGGCAGGAGTCGCCAGGAAGGATTGAGCCCGCGGGGGCGGGATGCTGCAGGTCGCGGGGTTTGAGGTGGGAGGGGAAAAACGCAGGGGGAACCACGAGTGGAGATATTCAGATACGGGGCACTGGCGCGAGGAGGGGGAAGGGGAAATGGATGAGGGTAAAGGTGGAGGGCGATTCTAGGAGGGTAAGGACCTAGGGACTAGAGGGGGCGGAAGAAAATTGCCACTTCAGCCCGAACCGCAGTGGGACAGCTAGGCTCCCAGCTGTCCGCAGTCGGCCCAACTAATCAGCATGCAGACACCGCCCCCTCATTTACATAAAGTCACCAGCCTCCCAGTCAAACTCGCGGCTCATCTGCATAAGCCTCGCCTTCCGAAGTTCTGCAGCCTGAATATTCAGTGTACTCAGAGGAGCCGCAGAGCAGAACCTCGCAGGGTGGTTCTCGGACCCTCCTGGAACCCGAAGCTGCCTCTCTAGCCCAATGGTTCTCAAACAGGGGCGATTTAGTCCCCTAAGGGACATTTGGCAAGATCTGGAGATATTTTTTCTGTCACTGCTGGGGTGGGGAGGGTGTGCTAACAGTATCTAGTGACTGGCTCTCAGGACAAAACACAGGACAGCTTCCCCACCCCCAACAATGAATTATCCCTTCCAAAATGTCAATTATGTCGCTGTTGAGAAACCCACGGTCAAAGCCTCTTTGCAGGCTCCAGGGATGTGGCCACCCTGGTTCACACCTCCATGAGTTGGGCAGCACCCCCCACCAACCACCCAAACTGACACGCTCAAGCTGCAGAGGGTGACAAAAAGTTTATTTTGTACTTCCCACGGTATGTTGTAGACGATAAAACTGGAGACAGGGCCTGATTTGAAAGTGTAGGGACTCCTGTAGGTATCCTTCCTGTGATGTGGAGAGCACTAGGGTAGGCTGCCTGGGGCCTTCAGGGGTGGGAAGGGCAGGCAGTGGGGGCCCTCAGGTGAAACAGGTTAGGAGGGGCCCCAGGCATACAGAGATTCTCCTGAGGGGTGAAGTAGGGTGCTTCCTTCAGCCAGCCCTGGCGGAGAAGAAGGGCAGAGAGCGGACGTAGGAGTCCAGTCGGGAGCGGAAGAGCTCACTTTGTACAGTTTGGCCCAGCGGGCACAGGGGATTCTTCACCACCAGCTCCACATACAGCTATGGAGAGGGAGGGTGTTAGAGCCAGGCTTTGAACACTTGTTTCCAACCCCAAACCTAGTATAACCTCAGGGGTGTATGAATGCACAAGGATCAAGGGCTGGGACCCAAGCCCTGCTTGAGGAGAAATTGGTGGTAGGAGTGTTTAAGGACCTAAAGGGTGCCGAGAAAACTCTTGACTCCAATAGAGATACAATACAGTAGGCTCTAGGCAGGGAAGCTGAAGGAGTCTAAGTGGCCATGGCTGTTGAGGAGCCTTGGGGGAAGGGTCCCAGGGGCTGGCACTGACCGCACTGTAGATGTGATGCAGCACATCTCGGATGGGTCCCACGCCCAAGTCAGTATTCATGACAACCTTGATCCCAGTGGGTGTTTCGTAGTAATGGAGTTTGTAACGGCTAGTTTGGAAGGCCAGAAAGCCATCCTTCCTGCGGAGATGAGGAGGATGTTAAGGAATCTCTCCCAAAAAGGTAATTCTAATCCCTTCTAGGTCGACTTCCTTTTCTCTAAACATATTTATAGGAGCCTGGTAAAGACACCTTCCATTACCCTCCCTCCCCAATTTGCCCCCCCCCCACCAGAACCTCTCTACCTTCAGATTTTCCCCACCTCCGCTCCCTCCAGCTCCAATACTCTCGCTCTGGATTCAGCTTCCTCTCTCTGGGGTCAATGCCCCTTCCACTCCAGAAAGTTTACCCCACCCCCAAATTCCCAAGATTAGTCCTTCCCTCAACACCCCCTCTGACTCGGCGTACATGTCTAGCGGGGACATCTTGCTGACAAACGAGCGGATAGAGAAGAGCATCCCGTACATCAGCTTGTACTCCTGGAGGGAGAGGGGCAGGGTTAGCTCTCGGTTGTTGAAGGAGACAGTCCTGGCAGGGGTGGGAACGAGCCGGGGTTTAGAGAGGAGGGGCTGGACTGAGACTGTACGTTTGGAGATGCGAGGTCACCCGGTTGCGCGGGGCCCTCTTGTCACCTCCTCCTTAGGGATCCCCGCTTGCTTCTTGCGGTGCCATTCGCTGTAATGTAGACACACTCCATTTCGGTCAAACAGGTACAGGTTGTGGACAGTCATCTGCAGGGCACAAAGTGTAAGCCCCGCTCCGGGACTGTCCACACTCCGTGGGCTCCAGTTCTCCGTCCCAAATCCCTCCAAACAGGTAGGGTCCCCTCCCCAGACTCACCGGAACCGCTCCTAGTGCCGGTCCCTCGATACTTCCGGTGTCCGCGGAGTCTCGCCCTACCCGATCCTCACGCTGCAGCGGCGGAGCAATAACTCCGCCTCAATACCTCTCTTAGCCAATCCGTGGCCGCCATGGCCGCGCACGCGCGTTCAGCCTCCTGGGCTCCAGAGGCTGTAGGAACAGCTGTAAGCGAGGCCGCTTGGGCTGCTGACGTCATCGAGAGAGTGAGGCGGGGCTTCGGACGGTGGGCGGGAGGCTGCCAACGGTTTTGAGCGTAGGGCGGGTCGCGGGGAAGGGGCGTCTTGGTCTTCCCGCACCCGTGCGCAGGGGAGGGGGCAATACCTTCTTACGTTGACAAATTGGGGGTGTGCTGAGTACTGGAAGTGTGGGATAGTCGTTTAAACGAGGTGGTCGGGGTAGAGGATCTCAGGCTAGGTTTGAGGGCGGCGTACTTTTTAGGGACGTCTGAGGGCGTGACTGAGTGTTCACAAAGTTTCTTTTGGGGTAGTTGGGAGGGAGGGATTCTAAGGAGTCTTGCCGTGGATTTCTTGCCAGGAGGGGTTGGGGGGAATATACAAGAGAGTTGACCCAGGGTAGAATGGTGCTGTGGGAGAAGGGGTGTGGGGAAGTGGGGAACGTGAGGTTCCTGCCTCTCTCAGACTGGAGCCAGTTGAGGCAGCTGGACGGAAATTAGGCCCCTGTTGGATTTGGGTTTGTTTCAGTTTGTACGTTCTGGGTGTGAGAACTTAAGAGCTCAGTTGGCCAGCGATAGCCTGTACCAGAAGTTGATTTCCTGCAGCTTTCAGCACTCCAGAGAAATTGCACTGGTGCTTTTTGCTCCCGCAGTAGGTCTTCTGTCTCCACCCTCTCCTTGCTGCACCCTTCTTTTCCACAGTTTCCAGGAGCTGTGGAAAGAAATGCTTTTGTGCTCTCCTATGGCCTCTGGTAACCTTGGGAACCATTCCTTTAACCAGAAAGCCTCCATACCCTTATTAACCAAGGATCCTTGGCTTGGAGTCTTCCTCCTTTTCCCCAAATCTTCCTTCTCTGTGTACTTTTCCCTTTGGGCTCTCCTAAAGCAGAACCAGGAGTTCCCAGCTCTGCTGTCTCCAGTTGTCTTTTCCCTGTACTCATGGCAACATCAACTACCAGCCCCAGTTCACCTCTCCGGGCAGAGGATCTCCTGAGCGATTCATCAGAAGCCCCTGGGTTGAACCAAGTGTCCTCTGAGGTGACCTCCCAGCTCTATGCTTCTTTGCACCTCAGTCGTCAGGCAGAGGCCACAGCCCGAGCACAGCTGTATTTACCCTCCACCTCTCCACCTCCTCATGAGGAATTAGACAGCTTGGCCCAAGAGCTGAGTCGCAGCTTGTCAGTTGGATTGGAGAACAACTTGAAGAAAAAGGTGAGGGAAGTGTGTCTGGGGGACCTCTAGGGTCTTGGGATTGGGGGTGGTAAAAAAAATAGCTTGACTGAGATTGAACTCCTATTGTTGGATTTCAAATTCCTTTTAAGTGCAAAGTCAGTCATGCTTGTTTCTGGGAGCAAATGCTTATGAAGGAGAGAGCGGCCTGGAACACCATAATTTGGGAAATTGTGAAACTTCCTAGTGTTTTTTTGCACCATGGGATAGGTTGCTATGCTTTCCTGGGATTTGGGGACTGGCAATGAGAATAAGGTTTCTTCATCCTAAGAGTAAACTAGGGATTTAAGGGATAGCAGCAAAATATGCTAAGATCCTTCCAGCTCAAAACTATTTTGATTGTATGGTTCAAAATTAGTCATGTAAATCATAAAAACAATTTAATTAATTACATGTGTTACAGAGAAGATAGTTATTAGTGTTGCAGAGAAAAGGTGTCATAACCAATTTGCAGACTGGTTAGGTCTTCCAGAGTTTGAAAAACTGATAGCCACAGGTTACACAGTCTTTAGACAGGGTATTTTTGCTCTCTAGTTGGTGAGAATCCTCACCATTCTTGTCTTAACATGCCCAATTAATTCATTTACACTATCTGTCTGGCTTCTGTAAACATTTGAGTTTCCTACCCTTACTGGGTCAGTTCTGTTGTTCTTGCTTTCCCAGGTGCTAGAGTAAAAATTCTTGGGTGTACTGGATGCCATCTACCCTGGCAGTAGGTAGAATATAGATTATTCAAGTTGCTTCTGATTTCTCTGTTGCTTTTTTCTAGGATGGTTCCAAGCATATCTTTGAGATGGAAAGTGTTCGGGGCCAACTCCAGAGCATGCTCCAAACCTCACGTGACACAGCTTATCGTGAGTAAATCCCTTCCCTATAAAGGAGAACCTAGATTAAGGGGTGGGAGAAAGTAAGAGGAAGGAAGGGTGCTGGGTGGGACATAGACCTCTGAGACAAGATCTCAGGAGGAAAGGCTCCAGTTCTTTGGGAGAGGCATCAGAAGAATGGTGAAGTAGAGAGGAAGGCCCTCTTCTCCCTTATCCTTCATGTGGTCCCTGTTCCTATCCTTACCTGACCCTGGCTGTGGTGTCCCTCTGACTGCCTTCAGGGGATTCCCTTGCTCCAGGTGCTGGCTCAGCGAGACGGGAAGAAGACTCTTTTGACAGTGACAGCACAGCCACCTTGCTCAAGTGAGTTCTTCTTGGGATTCCCCTAGCTTGCTTGCTTACTTTCTTGAAAAGCCAAGTGTTCTATTCCTTAGGTCTCCTTTTATTGCTGTTGTACCTTTTAAGGACCTAAGACTCTTGTCACTTAGCTTTTAGTTTTCATCCTTTCTCTCCTATCTTCTACCCCTCTTACTCCTTCAGGAACATGGGCATCTGCTGCCTAGTACCTGGCTTTCTCCCAGCCTGTAGTCCTCCTTCCCCCAGAAGTGTTAGCTTGCTTCTGCTAAGACTTTTACCACAGAGTGTGTGGCAGAGAGGAAAGATCCCTATAGAGTGAATCAGAGAACCTATGTGCTATTTATGGTTCTATCATTACCTAACTTAAAGACTTTGGCCAAGTCTCTTTCCCTTTCTGAGTTTCAGTTTCCTCATTTATAAAATGTCACAGTTGGACTAGTGGGTCTCAAAAACTTCCCTAACCCTAATATTCTCTACCTCATTTGCTCAGCACCCGGCCCCTGCAAGACTTATCTCCATCTAGCTCAGCTCAAGCCCTGGAAGAGTTGTTTCCCCGCTACACCAGCCTTCGGCCAGGGCCCCCACTCAATCCCCCGGATTTTCAGGGCCTGAGAGATGCACTGGATTCAGAGCATACCCGTCGCAAGGTGAGCTATAAAGGCTTCTTTTTGAAATCAGCAAAGATTAGAAATAGGGCTGAGTGCTGAAAAGAGCAGAGGGCTAAGGGCCACAAGCTGGGACTTGACTCAAATGGCTCTTCAGGGAGGTCTTCTTTCATTATCTTATCTAAAATGGCACACCTCCCCTCCAGATATTCAGATCACTCTGTTAGTTCCTTCACATGGCTTATCACAGTCTGATATACCTTGCTTGTTTCACCCTTCTAAAATCTAAACCCCATGAGGGGCTTACCTTGTCTTGTTCATTGCCAGCTTCCTAAAGTTTAGAATATACCTAACATAGAAACACTCAGAAAGTGTTTGGTGAATGAACAGTGAACTTTGCTGGCTTGTGCAAAGGCTTTATAGCTATTGATGTGTAATGAGCTTTATCTCTATGAACCTCAGCCAGTCTGAAGTGGGAAGAGAGAGGAATAGGTAGAAGAAAATAAAAATCATTGGTTTGTTTTTTGTTTTTATTTGACTCTCTCTTCCTCTATATTCTATTGCCTGGGCATGAATGAAAGGCTTTCCCCTTTATCCTTGCTATGTTTAATCATTGTGTCTAATGACCTTCTCAAGGCAGGAGTAACTTCTCACTCTTTCCAGTGTTGGCTGCTGCACCCCTGCCAAAAGGTTTATAGAAATTTTTCTCAGGAGATCCAGGGAAGGAAAGCCTGGAAACAGCCCGTTTCCTGAGATGATAGAGGAGAGTGTTGAAGGTCTCAGGCTTTAAGGTTCCTGCTCCAAAATTCTTAATTTTCCTTCTCCAAACCTATTCTGTTCTTGGGACTCAGGCTCCCTATCTCCAGCCCATCTCTCCCTAGAAGAGCTGGAAATTTTGGTGCTTTGGTCAGACTAACAATGGCAACACCCAGATTCATCATTCTTCCCAGCATTGTGAGCGCCATATTCAGAGCCTACAGACCCGAGTGCTAGAGCTTCAACAACAGTTAGCCGTTGCCGTGACAGCTGACCGCAAGAAAGATATCATGATTGAACAACTGGACAAGGTGCCAGGGTAGCAGAATGTGGTGGGTCTCTCCATGGGGGGGCACCATGTGCTAGAAGCTGGGGAAAGGGGTGAGTTTACTGACTACTGGGAGAAGGTGGCTGTTGACCCTGTCCCGAGGGGCAGAAAGAGAGCAAATATATTATTTTGAAATTTCATCTGACTTTTCTCTCCTGAGACCCTGGCCCACGTGGTGGAGGGCTGGAACAGGCATGAAGCTGAGCGCACAGAGGTGCTTCGAGGACTTCAGGAGGAGCGCCAGGCAGCTGAACTCACTAGAAGCAAGCAGCAGGAGGTGGGCAGCCTGGCTTATGTGGCACTAGAACCTACGTCGCAGGTTGCTAGATGGAATGGGGTAGAAATAGCTCTGGAATTAGGGTTTCTGACAGAATGACCTCGATCTTGCAGTATCTGGCCTGAAAATTCTCCCCTATTTCCTTTTCCTTCACTGTTTCTGCCGTTAAACTTGCATTGGTGATGTCTTCTCAGCTTTTCCCACACCATGTAATTTTCTCTTTGGCTCCCAAGTCATTTAGTTAACTCTTAGTTTTAAAGTTTACATTGTTAATGTTTTTTTAAGTATAACCTACAGAGATTCCCCTCAGTTCCTCTGTTCTATGTACTCCTCTCCCTGAAAGACAGTAACCCGTCTGGAACAAAGCCTTTCTGAGGCCATGGAGGCCCTGAATCGTGAGCAGGAAAGTGCCAGACTACAGCAACAGGAAAGAGAGACGCTGGTGAGAATGCTGGTCTGGGTTAATTCCAATAGAGGCTGTCATGTTAATTACTTTTAGAGGCCTATGGGCTATTGGTGGATTGTGTGGGAGTTCATCATTTTAGTTGTACCAGGGCAGTATTTCCCAAAGTGTGTTCCTTAGGACACTAATTCTGCTAGATACTCTACAAAAAAGGCTCTGCCACCAAGTAAGTTTGAGAGACTCTGCAAATTATATCCTTATTAGAATCATCTGGGGAATTATTTTAAAGTATAGATTTCTGGGACCTATCCCGGAGGTTTTGATTAAGTAGATATATGGTGGGGTTGGAGAACCTAAATATTTTCAGAAATTTCCTAGGTGATTTTGTTCAGCCAGATTTGGGAACTCTGGTCTAGGGCATAACCAAAAAAGGTATGAAATGAGACTCATTCAAGTTTCTTCTTGATGAAGTGATAAGGTGATTACCCATATGAATTAGTAGCCAGGTTTGGAACTTGTTGCATGCATGACACATACTTGCTACATGTATGCTGGTACTTATAATCTTAACAGGCTACATCCAGCAGTGCTGATGTTAGTTGCTGGTTGGCTAGTACATGATGGTAGGCTGGATTTTCTAGTCTTTGTGGAATTTCTTTTGATGATGATGGTGCTAGCTGTTGTGTATTGAGTACTTTACTACATGCCAGACACTGTACTAAATACTTTACATACACTTTTTACTTTAATCTTCACAGGATAGATCCTAGTATTATGCCTGCCCATTTCACAAATAAGGATGTGTGTCTGAGAACACATAGTAAATGACAGAATTGGGATTCAAACTGAGATTTGAACCCAGATCTACCTATTTCTGGGACCGAAGCTCTTACCTACTATATTATAATCCTGTGGGCTTGTCAACTATTGTACTTTTTTTTATTAGTTTCAGGTGTACAAAACAATGTAATAGACATTTCACCCCTCTCAAAGCGATAACCCCCTTCCCCCAATCTATTGCCCCTCTGACATCGTATGTATCTATTACAATTCCTTTAACTCTATTCCCTATGCAATACTCCATATCCCATGACTATATATATATATATATATATATTTAATTATAGTTAACATACAGTATTATTCAGCTTCTGCTTCAGGTGTACAGTGCAGTGGTGAAGCAACTACACCCTCCATGAAGTGGTCTCCCTAATAAGACGTGCCCCTCTGACTCCCTACAAAATCTTTACAATATTATTGATTATATTCCCCAAACTGTCTTTCATATCCCCTTGGCAATATTGTAGTTACCAATTTGTGCTGTCTAATCCCTTCCTCTCAATTATTGTATTTTTTTTTTATAAGCTGAGCCATCCTGCCACCTGTTGGCAGCTCAGCGGCTGTTCAGCTCGGGCTGGGAATCGAACTGCTGTTGCTCAGAGCTCAAACTCTTGAGCGAGCTCTTAACCAACTGAGCCACTCGCCCAGCCTCAATTATTGTATTTTTAATGGACATAATTCTCAGCAGAGAACATTGTATGGGTGTCAGGGGGCAGATTGCTGGTGTCTTGAGGGCATGCTAAGGACTTGGTTTTCTTCTGGGGCTATAGGAAGAGGAAAGGCAAGCTCTGACCCTGAGCTTTGAGCTAGAACAGCAGCGGTGCCGGGCCCTGCAGGAAGAACTGGATGAGGCTCGCGCTGGGCAACTCAGTGAGCGTCGACAGTTGGAGACACTTCAGGTTGCCCTAGAAGGAGAACGGCAGACCTGGGCCCAGCAAGAGCGCCAGCTTAAGGAACGCTACCAGGCACTGCAGGAGGAGGGCCAGGTTCAGCTGGAAAGGGAGAAGGTAAAAGCAGAGTTGGGGAATGGGGAACAAATGAAGGGAAAAATAATTGAATTAGATGGGATTTCAGAATATGGGGTGTAGGGGACTGGGATGGAGAATGAAGAACTAGATGTGGGAGATAAGATTGAGAGTATAGGGCCAGCTGGCAGGGCTTGGGGCATCAAATACATGTAAGGCCAAAGAGTGACATTAAACAGAGATGAGGAACTCGGACAAATGTAAAGAGAAAGGAAGCTTGGGTTTTTAGGGTATGGGGGGATGAATTGGGGAATAGAGGTAACCAGAAAATTAGGTATGTACTGAAATTTGATTACCCTTTCCTAGGGGAACACGCAGAGAGAGGTCCAGGTAGCCCGGGAGGCCCAGCAGCAGCTGGCATTGATGCAGTCTGAGGTGCGGCGGTTGGAAGGAGATCTGGACACAGCTCGGAGAGAGAGAGATGCCCTGCAGCTGGAAATGAGCTTGGTGCAGGTCAGGAGGCAGAGGAGGGTTCTTGAGGTTTTTTTTCCCTGGTTAAGAGAAGTAGGTCTGAGGCAGAGTGATCTTTCAGGAGTCATGGCAAACACTCTCATTCCTAACTAGAATTTTTACTTATGGGCCTCAGTTTCTGTGTGTAAAGTGTGTGTTAAAGGCAAATTAATGAGTTTCTGAAAGCAAGTCAATCTGAGAGACTTTTTTCCTTATTAATGGTTGACTTACGGAGATACCCAGTTTCTGGATTAGTGAGGCAAGTGTTTGCGCAAACACACTCCTTTCACCTAGCCCATTGAATTGGAGGACTGACCACATGGAAACTGATTTATTATGGAGGGCCAAGGGTAAAGACATTAGTGAACAATTCAGTAGCAATTTATAAGCTGCTGTAATCCTTTGACCCAATGCTAGATGTGTGTGTGTGTGTGTTTGTGTATTCAGTAAGCCTGTTGAACAGCCCCTCTACGTAAGCTCTGTGCTGGGAGCTGGGAATAGTCCCCACCAACAAGGAGCTCACCAGCTAGATGGGGAGTTTGTCTAGTACACTCATTTTCTTTTCAAGATTTTTTTTTAACTGGGGAATTGGGGAGGGGAACAGTGTTGGGGAATTGGAGAAGGGGAACATGGTGTTTTTCCAGGACTTATCAGCTCCAAGTCAAGTTGTTGTCCTTCAATCTTAGTTGTGGAGGACGCAAGCTCAGCTGTAAGTCCATTTGCCGCTTTCAATCTAGTTGAGGGGGGTGGCGTAGTCCACCATCCCATGCAGGAGTCGAACCAGCAACCTTGTTGCACACTGAGCCATCCGGTAGCCCGTCGGCAGCTCGCGGCTGCTCAGCTCAAGGTGCTGTGTTCAATCTTAGTTGCGGGACGGAGGAGGGGACGCAGCCCGCCATCCCATACGGGTGTCGAACTGGCAACCTGGCTGTTAAGAACACGTGCTCTCTGGCCGGCCGAGTGGCGCGATGGTTAAGAACTGGCTTGGGATGCCAGAGGGCCCCGGTTCGGATCCCACATATGAGGGCCAGTGACACTCCCCTCCACAG